CATACTCAGTTTCTTCTTTAGAAATATTCCTAGGTAGGCTGGCTTATCAAGGTGGGGAAGTCATTCTTCATACTTACTCAATTTCTGGCTCTTATTTGTGTGTTTCTCACCTCATTTCTCTGTTGGGACCAGCCTTCTCCACTTCAGTTGAGAACTAAGGAATGTCTCATTTGCAGCATCTCATATTCTCCCTTTCCTTCTGCACATAAGGTTCTATCACTTTGGGGACATGGGCTTCTCTTGAAGCCCTCATTCCTTTTGTTCATGCCCACATATGCCATCTTCAGTGGGTTTTCATCACCTTATGGTGCCTTGTTCAGGTTCCATTGGATGCTTCCCTTACCCTCACTTACAGTCCAAGTTTAACTGGTGGTTAGTTGAGACCAATATTTCTGCAGGGGTTTCCTCTTCTTCCCCCTTGTTTGGACTGTCACCTTTTTACAAATGCTTCTCTTTCCATTTGGGGAGCACTTCTCTACACTTGGGAGGTTTTGGGGTCGGGATCTCATTTTGAATCTGTTCTCCATATCAATCTCTTGGAGCTTTTTGCTGTTTTTCAGGCACTATTTACCTTCCTACTGGATGGTGATAAACCACATCAACAATTCTATGGTAGTTTCCTACACCACCAGGCATGGGGGAACCCGGTCGAGAAACCTTTATTTTCAAATTTTGGATATTCTATATTGGGCCCACTGCCATCATATCACCTTGTTGGCATGTCTTATTATAGTTACCCTGAATCTTTTTGTGGATTGGTTACCCCATCCTGATAGGATTCTACTGACAGGATAGTCTTTGGATCCTTTCATTTTTTCAGGAATTGTGTATGCTTTGGGGTGTCTCCATTATGGATACTTTTGTTTCTAATCTTAATACACACCATCCCTGTTTTTAGTCTCCTGTTCCTCATCCATTGGTGTGAGCAGTGGATGCTCTCTAACAGGATTGGACAAGTCGTTACCTCCATACATATCTTCCTATTTGTCCTTTTTCTCGTGTCCTATCAGTAGTTCAGACTACTCTGTGTCGAGTTCTGCTGGTGGCACCATATTGGCTGGCTCTAACATGGTTTTCACTTCTGCAATGGCTTTTGGTGTTGCCTCCCCATCCTCTGCCTTCATTGGTCACTCTTTGGTGTGCATCATCCATCCATACATGCACTCTGTTTTCACATGTGGCTTTTGGTCTTTCATTTGAAGGTCAGGACTTTCCAGGTGTTTAGCTTCCTTGGTCTCCCATCCAGTTCATCCTTCCTCTTTAATGGTTTACCAGCATATGTGGTATACTTCACATTGTTGGTCTATAAACTTAGGTTATCATTCTTCTCTTCCTACCATTCTTCCATTGCCATCCTTTTTCACTTGGCTTTATGAGTGGGACCTATCAGTTTCCTTTGTTGCGGGATATAGGGTTGTTTTATCTTCTGTGTTCCAATCTAAGGTACTGTCTATGTTATTTTGATCATTCTCCCCACCCTGCTTCTCTCCAGGATTGGAACTCAGTGTTGTCTTTCATGCTATTACTCATTCTCTGTTTGAACCTTTGTCACTGTGTTCATTATATTACTTTTCTTTGCCATCCCTGTGCCTTATATTGTTGGCATGTCTTTCTGAAGTATTTGTGATTGGGGTTTACTATGTTTTGTTTCATAGTTCAAGACCAGTCCTTTATGCCCAAGAATTTGATTGCTCAGGAGAGTAATAATGATTTCACTCCTCATTCCCTTCCCTCCATTTCCCATCTTTAGGACCATTTTGATCCTGACCGACTGTTTTGCCCGATCAGGTCCCTTAGATGGTATATGACATGCACTGTGTCCTTCTGTGGTTCCTGAGTCCATTTGTTTCTTCATTGGAATTCTACTTTTTCCTGTGATTTTTCTCCCTTTCCCCTTATGGATTGGATTTGCCACTCACTTCTCCTGGTATATTCTTCCCTTTCTCTGAATGTTTGTCATCTTTTTCATGTTTTTTTTACAATCAGGTCAAGTCCGTCACCTTACCTAGTTCCTAGCTACCCTTTTCTGTCTTCCCTGGGTGTACATCATCACGGTGGATATGTTTATTTTTATTTACAAGATCCTTTTGCTACATATATTTTGGATCCTACTCTGTAGCAAGTGGTGCCTTCAATTCTGTACTGTACATTCTGTGATCATACCAGATGTCTATCACATTGAGGCTCTTCCTACTGTTGACCTGATGTACAATTCCAGATGCCACCAGGTGTTGAATGATTGACTCTGTCCAATCATCATCTTTGCATCAATATCACAAATATTACAGGAAACATAATAAACCATCACAGGATCATGATACGCACATCGTAGAGATAAGATGTTCCATAGAACCACTTGTAGTTATACCTCTATTACTTCATAAATATGTGCATCCCAGACCGTACACTCATGGACTTACAGGAGTAAAGCAGACGGGGATCTCTGATGCTCCATGGCATTTAGAGCTGATGTATAATTCCGGATGCTACCAGGTGTTGGTTGATCGACTCTGTCAACATAGTAGCTCTGCTTTTTCAAGTATGATATTTTGGTCACCCATTGCACTGTCTCCAGTGCTTTGGTCCTCCAGACCCTCCTATACATTTTTCACCCCCCTTTCTTCTAGTGGAGTATTGGAATCCTTGCTGCTTCCGAGATTCTAGCTGCTGGGGTGGTGGACCTTGGAGACCAGTCCTCTTGAGTGAAGCACAATACCACTCAGTTGAGAGTAGGGCAGTAGCATTCTGCTTATGTCAGTGGTGTGACACCCTTCCTACCACAGAAGTTTGCCCTCTCAGGCTGAGATATTCCTCATTCCTACTATCCTCAGGATGTCAGTTCCTGGTTGAGTCAGGTGTTGGTTCAAGACGGCCCAGCCACATAAGTTCTCATGTGTTTGGCTGATTCCCTCCTCCTACTGTGGACTGGATGATAAATTCTCAATTCCACCAGTTTTTGGACTGGAGATGTTACCCCAAATTGATATCCCTCTTCATCTTCCTACCGTCCACTGGATGTAACCAACAGACAGAATGAATAACAATAATTCATATTATTTATTGGACAAATGTGTACTAAGCCAAAATATTTTCTGGTGAGCTTAAATTTAAACTCAAACAGCTATAAAAATAAAACAACATCAATATATTTTGTAAAATAAAACTTTTGACAGTTATAACTTAATCTTTCGAAGTTTGAAAACCAGTAGGGAATGAATGAGAATAAAAATAGGATGTTATAATCATATAATGTAGTATTAGTATGTTAATAAGTAACAACAGTGCAACTACTCCATGCTGGTTATAGTGATACCAATTAGTTTTTGAAAAGTTTATTGTGCTACACTGTAACGTTATAATCATATAATGTAGTATTAGTATGTTAATAAGTAACAACAGTGCAACTACTCCATGCTGGTTATAGTGATACCAATTAGTTTTTGAAAAGTTTATTGTGCTACACTGTAACGTTATAATCATATAATGTAGTATTAGTATGTTAATAAGTAACAACAGTGCAACTACTCCATGCTGGTTATAGTGATGCCAATTAGTTTTTGAAAAGTTTATTGTGCTACACTGTAACCAAATTTTCAAGTGTTTCACAAATATAATATATTCTATAACTGATTAGTTCAGACAGGTTATAATCCAGTGATTTCAAAGCTTATATCTTTTATTTTCAGTAGTTTGATTGATATCAAAATAAAATCAGTTAAAAAGAAATATCAATTTTTGTAATTAAGTTATATTTAATCATATTTATAAAAAGATTATAGCATTAGTTCATAAACAGTATGTCTCTTTTTTCAAACTTCTTAAATGTTGGTACTTAAACAATCCTGCCACTTGCATTTTTACTTATTTTGGACATCAACAATATGAAAATATCCTAAATTCTAACTTCTAAACAATAAAAAATCTATTGTGTAACAAGTCATTCTTATAATAGCTTCATATACCCTAAACAATACTAACTTTGCATTGTTACAGTGTCTGAAAAAATACAAGGCCTGAAAATTTACCACAGCAACACTTCAAATACCTGTAGAATGATAGGTTTATTTTATGTGAGTGTAAAACACTTAAATACACCAGTTCGATTTTCAATACCTCACTACTATAAAGGCTTGGTTTGGTCTGATATTTCATTGGTGGTAGTGTCCAGGGTCACTGATGAGGAGTGGAATTCTCTGAAACTAGTCTGGCTCACAGACACACACCCCAATGAAAGAACGGACCATTCCAAGATTTTACTTGTTGTTAAACAAATGTTTAAACAACTTTATTCACTCAACACTTATTAGACTTTAAGTTGAACTAGCTTAGAATAATCAGTTATTGATTGAGGCCTCGATTGGATTGCTGTAGACTCCAGCTGTGTTGATTTAAAAACAAATTTTTTTAAACTTTTCAAAAATGAATAGCCCAGACAAATAAAAACACAGATGACTAATTTTTCTTTCTGTTATTATATGGTAGTGTAAGGAGGTCTATCCCCCTCTCTCCTAGATATGTGTGTCTGCTTATACAGTATTAAAGAATACAGAATGTAGGGGGCAGGTATAAATATAATTTAACAGGTTTTGTAAGTATTCATGTACTTGTCTTTATAAATTTTGACAGCTATTTTTGAGGCATACCATGTTTCCATCTTGTTGTATTACATATTTTGATGTAATTAAATATATATATATATATATATATATCATAAAATGGTGTGATAAGTGTACCTGTTTCATTAATTAAGATGGGGAAAAATTCTTCAAGCAACTTTAACAACATTTAGCAAATTAACAAATTCAAATATGCAGTGTGCAATAAGATGTACTTACTACATGCTTGACAGAAGCTATCTTGTATTTTGTTAAACATGATTTTTACATGTATAATATTTTTAAAAACAGAATTTTTTATATTATCTGTAATAAATTATTTGTTTTTGTACAGCTGAGAGAAATTAAGGTAAAATTTAATAGTGGATATTTTTCTCATTTTAGGACTATAATCCTTCACATCAGGATATCCTTCATGCTCGGAAGGCCACTAAATCCATCAATGAGTTTGTGATCTACATCAACACAGTTCCTTTTCGATTCGTGGATGTTGGAGGACAGAGATCTCAGAGACAAAAATGGTTCAAGTGTTTTGAAAGTGTGACCTCCATTCTTTTTCTTGTGTCTTCCAATGAATTTGATCAGGTGCTATTGGAGGACAGGTATACTAACCGTCTTGTAGAGTCACAGGACATCTTTGACACTATCGTAAATAACAGGTGTTTTGTAAATGTGTCTTTTATTCTCTTCCTCAACAAAACCGACCTCCTGCAAGAAAAACTCGAGAAGCGAGAATCAAATATTGCCCATTACTTTCCGAGGTTTATGGGAGATCCCCATAGATTAGAAGACATTCAAATATTTTTACTTAAAATGTTTGAAGGTGTCATAAGAGACAAAAGGAGGCAGATTTACCATCACTTCACCACTGCCGTCGATACAGAAAATATCAAAGTCGTCTTCAATGCTGTACGAAACACGATTCTTCAAAAAAATATTAATCAATTAATGCTACAGTAGTTTGGCTTCAGCGTTAAGCTTAGATATTGTTCAAAGTAAAGACAGAGCTCAAGAAATTCCATGAGTCAGATTTATTTAAAAACATTATTTTTATATTAGTTCTTCAAAAGTTACCAAAAAAGTTTCATATTACCTAAAGATGTTCTCACTTGATTAACATATCTAAGGGCTTCTTCACAATGTGTGAGTGTGTGTGTTGTAATTTCAAATCCATGTAATGTTGAAAAATATAAGGAGGTGGAAAAGGCGAACTTCTTAAACAGTTTATGCTCTCTTAACGTATATATATATATATATATATTTTGTAACTGTGATTTTGAGAAGGTGATTAATTCTACCATGAATAATCTAGAACCTGTTGTAAAATCAAAATGTGATAAAAGAAGTGTGTTATTTTGTGGAATCTTTTATGTATTTTCCATTTGCTATCCAGTTTTCTCCTCTTCGAGAATGCAAAGAAATAACTTGGATTGTTATTAGGGAAAAGAATTGTTTAGTCAACGTTTGTACCAAACATTTCACAGTGGTTTGTATGTAGTTCAGCTAAAACCTTGACCTCTCGTTGATCTTCTTACAGCAATTTTAATTCCTCCTTTGTATATTGAGATTTTATCTTGCTGTTGCTGCATTTGTTTGTTTGCAAAAAAACAGCTTATCTGTAATGTAACAGAGTTAAGGTAAAACAGCTTATCTGTAATGTAACAGAGTTAAGGTAACTTTTCTAATGTGTATAATGTTCCAGTAGAATGTTATCATAATTTATAATTGCCTTGGTTAGTACTGCTGCTTTAGCCTTGTTCTCTACTGGAGATTTAACCATTTCCTGTTGATTATATTATTTCATGGATATGTTTAATGTATATGTGACGATGAGTGTTTTCATATTATTCTGTATTGTTGCTTATTATGGTTGTATATGGCAATGGTCACCTATGTTCATGTATGCAGATTTTCAAAGGTACACATGGTAATTATATATGTTAATTATACTGTAAATTATGCGTATGTTAATGTTTGTCTTCGTGATAACATTTATTTTTTTTCCCAACAACATTGAACAAGCATTTTTATTGTGTTAGTTTGTGAAGATTACTCAACCCCACTAGGTCATAATATCCTCACAAATCACTTTTGTAAAGCATCATAATTTAGTGGTTTAATATGTAAAGAATAATTAGTATCTAATAAAGAGTTAAGAAAGGGAAACTAATTGGAGGTTTACCAACTTGTTGTTGTTGTTGTTACCAGTTCAAAGAATATGTTTGGGTTTTGAATTAGATGTCCAGTGTGTGAAACTAGGTTCAGTATCAAAGTCACAGGTACAGAGCTAGTGAGCTAACATTTATTCCAAAATAGCAGCTTGCACGTTGTTGTTTTTCTTATCTGGAAGACATTTTTTGTTAATGCTCCAGATGTAGAATAATGTAATCATCTTGGATGTTAGCAAGGTATATTCAACCCACTTCCCAACCTTATAAACTTGGATACTAACAAGATTATGGTAGATGTTTACTTGTTAATTATGTTATTCAAGGTAATAACTTATTTTGATGACAGGTTGACTTATCTTTTTGCTAAGCTGCACATTTTTACTTTGAACATTATTTCGATGTTGATTGAGTTATCCAACTGTTGTTTGTTACTGAATCCTATTTGTGTTGATTGTGCTAACTAACTGTGGATTGTTTCGATGTTGATTGAGTTATCCAACTGTTGTTTGTTATTGAATCCTATTTGTGTTGGTTGCCCTAACTAACTGTGGATTGTTTCACTGATCACAGAATTTTCCAACTGTTCTTTGCTATTGAATTGTACTTGTGTTAATTGTGCTAACTAACTGTGGATTATTTCACTGTTGAATGAGTTATCCAGTTGTTGTTTGTTATTGAATCCTATTTCTGTTAATTGTGCTAACTAACTGTGGATTGTTTCACTGTTGAATGAGTTATCCAATTGTTGTTTGTTATTGAATCCTGTTTGTGTTAATTGTGGATTGTTTCACTGTTGACTGAGTTATCTAACTGTTGTTTGTTATTGAATCCTATTTCTGTTAATTGTGCTAACTGTGGATTGTATCACTGTTGACTAAGTTGTCTAACTGTTGTTTGTTATTTAATTCTATTTGTGTCAATTGTGATAACTAATTGTGGATTGTTTCACTGTTGACTGAGTTATCCAACTGTTGTTTGTGACTGGATCCTACTTGGGTTAGTTTTGCTAACAAACTGTGGGTTGTTTCACTGAAACTTAATGCATGCTGTGTTAATAAAATGGATTGCATTTAAAACTTGTTGATTAAGAATTGTATTTATAAGTTATGTATTGTTATACTGATTGAGTGCTGTGTTAGCATTGTATGGATTTTAACATTGAACATTTAGTTTTACTTGTATTAACAAATAGTGGATTGGTTTTGGTGAACATTCATTGAATATTGTGTTAGAAGATTGTGGGTTGTTGTACTGACTCCTGATTTAACTATTAAGTGTGTTAACAAAAAGTTGATTTTTAAAAAACTTTGGACTGTTACATTGGGTATTAGTCAAGTGTTACTAATTTGATAATACACTGGATTGTTACACTAAATATTCATTTGTTGTTTGTGTTAACAGACTGGATTGTTATACTGAACATTGGTAAAGTGTTAGATTGTTTTAAACTGTTAATTGTTACATTTAACATTGGTCATGTTTTTAGATTGTGTTAACATTAGACCAGTGCTGTGGATTATCACATTGATCATTAGACCAGTGTTATATTGTGTGAAGAAACTAGATTGCTGCATTGTTGTTGTTTAAATGATGGTTGACAATGTAGAACTCTGAGTACGAGGTGAAAATTATTATCGAGTTTTGATAAGTTGATACAAACTTGCTCATATTTGATTTGGTTAATTAATTAGTTATATATATATTAGCTCTCTTCACATTTCACTGTGAGTTCAGGAAGTTGTTAACACTCTGGTTTCTTAATTTTAACTACTTATGTTGGGACCATTGGATGCACACAGTAGTGACAGTGCATGGTTATATCTTAGTACACAATGCACTAGCACCTACACAGAACTGATGTTTCTTGTAAGCCTTTTGTCTTGGTGATACTTGAACTTCAAGTATTGCAGTGAATACTAGTCATGTAAAGAGGCTGTTCTCTCAAACTTTGTCAGTTTGCAACACTCAACAAAGTGTGCATGAGCCACCAGGTGTTTGTATCTTATTTTTTGTATAAATTATTTAGATGTGACAGTACACCATTGCTTGCAGAAAAATAGTTCATTCTTATTTGGTAGAAATATGTTGGCCTTATCAGTAAACACAAGTTAGAGGATATTCTGGACTGAGCACTAGACATAGAGAATGTACTAGACTGATCACTAGACACATAGGATATACTAGACTGATCACTAGACACACAGAATGTACTAGACTGATCACTAGACACACAGAATGTACTAGACTGATCACTAGACACACATAGGATATACTAGACTGATCACTAGACACACAGAATGTACTAGACTGATCACTAGACACACAGAATGTACTAGACTGATCACTAGACGCACACAGAATATACTAGACTGATCACTAGACACACATAGGATATACTAGACTGATCACTAGACACACAGAATATACTAGACTGATCACTAGACACACAGAATATACTAGACTGATCACTAGACACACAGAATGTACTAGACTGATCACTAGACACACAGAATGTACTAGACTGATCACTAGACGCACACAGAATATACTAGACTGAGCACTAGACACACAGAATATACTAGACTGAGCACTAGACACACAGAATATACTAGACTGACACTAGACACACAGAATATACTAGACTGATCACTAGACACACAGAATATACTAGACAGATCACTAGACACACAAAGGATATAGTAGACTGATCACTAGACATACAGAGGATATACTAGACTGATCACTAAACACACAAAGGATATACTAGACTGATCACTAGACACACAAAGGATATACCAAACTGATCACTAGACATACAGAGGATATACCAAACTGATCACTAGACATACAGATGATATTCCAAACTGACCACTAGACATACAGATGATATACCAAACTGATCACTAGACATACAGAGGATATACCAAACTGATCACTAGACATACAGATGATATTCCAAACTGACCACTAGACATACAGAGGATATACCAAACTGACCACTAGACATACAGAGGATGTAGTAGACTGATCACGAGACATACAGAGGATATACCAAACTGATCACTAGACATACAGATGATATACCAAACTGATCACTAGACATACAGATGATATACCAAACTGACCACTAGACATACAGAGGATATACCAAACTGACCACTAGACATACAGAGGATATACCAAACTGACCACTAGACATACAGAGGATATAGTAGACTGATCACTAGACATACAGATGATATACCAAACTGACCACTAGACATACAGAGGATATAGTAGACTGATCACTAGACATACAGATGATATACCAAACTGATCACTAGACATACAGAGGATATACCAAACTGATCACTAGACATACAGATGATATTCCAAACTGACTACTAGACATACAGAGGGTATACCAAACTGACCACTAGACACAACTTATTAATAGCCATCTTGTAATATTTAGATGAAGGTTTTGAGTCAGTTGTTTTTTCTGAAATGCCAATGTCTAGAATTGTGAAGTTGTTGAGCTGCTTGGTGTCTAGCAGAGAAGTTATTTAAAAAAATCTATTAATGTAAATTAGTAAACTTATTCATGATATCAATTTAGCTATACGTGTTACCTATTTTCCGTATTAGAGATGTCATATATAAGACAACATTGAAACAAGCAGCCAAAGAAATATATTTACTTGTTACTTGTGATATTGAGCTAAATGTTTGTGTGTTTATATTCTTACCATTGAATATTTCAAAAGTTTTATATCACAGACACTGCCAGTAAATCCATAAAGCTTTAATATATTTACCAGACGGCAGACATACCTTGGAAATTAGTTTTCAGGAGTTTTGTGGATGAAACTAATCATGGATAGTTTAGGAATGACCTTTTATTACAAATTATATTATATGAGTGACACTTATACCTTCCTTACAGAGCAGTATTTGAATATATTTTAATGCTAGGTAGGTAAAGAAAATTTTGTTTAAAAATATCAGAATTTTTATATTCTCTCACACTTTAACATTTTGTGAGAAATGTCGAAGAATAGTTTCTTTTCAGTCTCTTTGTAGAAAACCTGTGACCTATGGTCAAACTACTTTATTATGGGTATTTTGGACTCCTTAAGTATTTGTTAAGCTATCATTTATCCGTCAGCCCATTATTATAATCCATTCAGTGTGCATTTACTACCTTATCAGCTTGTTTTTGTGTCGTAATAGTATTTTGGTTTGTTTATTGTGCTGAAAAAATGGCCGTTTTATGAACGTATAAAACAACAGCTGAAATTCCTAGCCAGTTGTTTCCGACTTATGGTGATCTCGAGTCTTTCACGAACAGGACACGTAGTATGCACGTGCATGGAAAAGAAGGTAAGACCTTGTACCTTTTAAGTGCTTGATAATGCCGTTGGTGAGGAGCTATGACAGAGCTACCGGCTCAATAAACATAAGGGATACTCCAGCAGTTTGGAGTGTTCTGTTTTGTTTATAAAATCCATGTTTGAGAAGTTTGTCTTCGTCATACTTATTAAATAGAAAGAGGGCCCAACTCTGACCTCTGTATTAAAGAGAGAGAAGCTCCAGCCATGACCTCAGCTAGAAAATAAACTCTAAACGTGTGAACCAAAGAGTTGGTATCGTTTTATAAATGATAACCTCTTGATAACTGCCAAAGTATGAGCACCTCACTAAAAGTACTGTACGACGGAAAGATGATAAGTGTCAGTAGTTGGCATCATTTCCTTCTATAACATCATCTCTGCCTCAATATTCTTCAACCGTACTCAGGTTACCGAATAAACACATATATGTATTCTTAGTGTGGAAATTAGTATTTGTTTTTGAACTTGTATCCAAGGATGTTACTACACACTTTCAGATATAGTTGGATGCAGTAATAATGCTTTTTTTTTTAAAGTTACGCTTGTTGTATGAATTTAGCAACAGTATTAAAATATGTTTATAGCAGTTACTTCCAGTCTATGACTGATTATTTTTTTCTCTCTGTAAACAGGAAATAGAAGATACTCCGGTTTAATTCTGTGTACAAGTGTGTGTGTATATAATCTGTAATGCAAGTCGAGGGTTTATCATACGTTGCAGTAGTCCTATCGTAACCGTTACCTCTATGTATACTTTTGAACCAAAGATGTAATGAACTGAATTTCACAAGTCTAGCGACTAATAAGTTTTAAATGACTAAGACAATAACAAAAACTGTTTGTTTGTTTGTTATGGATTTAGCGCAAAGCTACACGAGGGCTATCTGCGCTAGCCGTTCTTAATTTAGCAGTGTAAGACTAGAGGGAAGGCAGTTAGTCATCACCACCCAACGCCAACTCTTGGGCTAATCTTTTACCAACGAATAGTGGAATTGACTGTAACTTTACAACGCCCCCACGGCTGAAAGGGCGAGCATGTTTGGTATGAAGGGGATTCGAACCCGCAGATTGCGAGTCGAGCGCCCTAACCACCTGGTCGTGCCGGGCAACAAAAACTGGGGGATGGGAATCTGTCGGACCTCGGGACCGGTCCTTTTCGAAATTCCAAGTGGAGTATATTTTGGATGTCTGTATTCCATGGCATCTCGGTTTAGTAGCACGCGAAGATGTAACATCATGTAATTAATATTCAAGACCGTCGGTACGTGGTGGAACCCCATCATGACAGAACTGGGGGAAACAAAAGTAATTGGACGTTTCACAAATATTTCATTCATTGCGATCACGGTTTCGCCACTAAAGAAATCTTCAGTTACAGGTACCCGATGAAGCCTTTACTGGCGAAACCGTGGTCGTAATGAACGAAATATTTGTGAAACGCCATTGTGTTTCTCCCAACGTTACATTATCTTAATTTAAAGGAAACTTAATATTCCATATACTATAAAGTTAAGTCCTAGCAAAGGTGGTTACTTGCGCTTCTCTATAGAAAAGATCCAATGATTGACATGGTGGACAAATGACAAAAGAACTTTTAATAACATACAATAACCATAACAAAACTGGTTTAAAAAGCAGACAAGTTAGTGTGGCAGTAATTAAAATATGATTTTTGGTCCGGCATGGCCAAATGGTTAGGACGCTTGACTCTGAGGGTCGCAGGTTCGAATCCCCATCATACCAAACATGCTTGCCCTTTCAGCCGTAGGGGCGTTATAATGTGACGGTCAATCCCACTATTCGTTGGTAAAAGAGTAGCCCAAGAGTTGGCGATGGGTGGTGATGACTAGCTGCCTTCCCTCTAGTCTGTCACTTCTAAGATAAGGATGGCTAGCGCAGATAGCCCTCGTGCAGCTTTGCGCGAAATTCAAAACAAACCAAACTAATGATTTTTAAATACACACACACACACAAATGATACATCGATCATTTTACACACACACACTAGAAAACATGTAACGTAAATAGTTGGATAAATAAATACCCATCTTTAGCGAGTGTGTAACACCCGTGGTGTATTAAGAGTTAGAAATCTTCTACCCGAGGACAGTCACTAAAATATATAAAACAGTGTTTTGGGCAAGTTTCTCTTTGTATTTTGCTGAATTGAGGAAACCGGTTTTTAAAAGTGTCCAAGATGCCGATGTATATCACTATAACACCAATTTTTAGAGACACCATTTGGAAGACTTGGGGACGTCCTCTGGTGACGAGAGTTTAAGATAGGATATGTTGACGTTTGGTGGTCTCAGTGGTTCTGAAATCAGACCCGAATATTTTCATCAATATTTTTTATAAGTTCGAACTTTGACTGTATTGAACGTTACAGAGAGAAACCCAAAGATACTCCCATCACTGATTAAAAACTTGTTAATCCCAAATGAAACGATTCTTGAAATTCTGAGAATATATTTTGTTTTATTGTGTGACAAGACTGCTAAAAAAACATTAATGTAACGTAAAAAATACGTGTTATATATTTAAGGAGAGCTTGAGTCAAACATTTGGAAAATGTCAAACAAAGTTGTATAATTAATACCATTAGAAGATGAGTGCCAGGAGAAAGACTTGTTGGTTGTCTGTTTACTTGTTTGTCGAATTTCGAGCAAAGCTACTCGATGGCTAGCCGTCCCCAATTTAGCGGTGATAGACTAGAGAGAAGACAGCTAGTCAACACCACCATTGCCAAATCTTGGGCTACTCTTTACCAGCGAATAGTTGGATTGGCTGTCACAATATAACGGCTGAAAGGGCGTGCATTGGATTTGAAACTGTAGGTTGTGAGTCGAGCGCCCTAAACACCAGGCTCCGGTTGGCCGTCACGATCAATTTTGTAGCTGTGTTTTGGGCAGATCTGAGATATGGGAAATCAAAGCGACAAAGACCGTGATTGTTGTCGCTGAAATGATGGAAAACAAAATGGTCTGATGTAGGAAAGATGTTTTTGTTGCCATTAATTTGAAGGGAAACAAGGAGCTCTTAAGAACCCCAATAGTGGGTAAGTTGTCTCTTAGATACTGGATATAGTATGGTTGAAATATCATTGTTAGGCGTTCTTCTTTATTTTCAGTCAGAAGTTCATATTAATATCTGAATCAAAGGTCGGTAATCACAAACTAACGGATTATTTGATTTACAATTTCCGTCCTGTTGTCAGACCATCTGTAAATGCGATTATCTGTAAGATAACCAACAGGCGGAAATTAGTTTCCACAAATGTATTGCGAAGGTGTGAGTTATGGGACAGTGAAAACGTTCTTTGTTTCAGGGCCTTCATGTATAGAATTAAGAGCGGCAAGAGTCATATCGTGTATCAATTGGGTTTTAATAAACGGAAGTGGTGGTGTGACAAAAATTATTGCGTAAATATAATTGTGGGGTTGTAGTAGACAGGAGGGTTTAAAGAAATGAAAACAGAAGAATGAACATCTATATAGAAGAAGAACAAATAGGTGAGTACAAGAAGAAACTGGTTAAAACATCTGAATGTAGTCTGGTCACATACACAGAATAGAAACGAGGACACCGGAATATTGGAAAGGTTTGAAGAAAGGCGTTTTATGGAGTGTGATGACATACACACTGGAAATGCAGAAGTGGAGTTGGGGTTGTAGTGAACGGAAGTGGTAATGTGTGACGTCATAGTATTAGTAGAAGAGCGAGATTGTAGTGTTAGGTTTAGAGTGACAGTAGTAATATACCACAAGTCGAAGTGCGAGTCTATCGGTTTGTAGTAAACAGACACGAGTAAATGACTATTTCTGATAGCGATTTCAGTGTCCAGAATCCAGAAAGGGAACAGTATATTTATGAACATTTCTTGTAAAGTCTAAAAACGATTGAGTGTGAAAAAAGAATTAAATATATAAATTTTGCGACTCAGATTCGTTATGTAAGGTATCACCAGTATACCAACCATAGGTTTATGGAAAACGAAACGAGATAAACACAAGATGCTCGACAAGTCTTTCATCTGTTAAAACAGTTTCGGGTGTTAATTACAAGACAGGAAATCATTACATTCAGGGTTTACCATCTGACAGGAAACCATTATATTCAGGGTTTACCATCTGACAGGAAACCATTACATTCAGGGTTTACCATCTGACAGGAAACCATTACATTCAGGGTTTACCATCTGACAGGAAACCATTATATTCAGGGTTTACCATCTGACAGGAAACCATTATATTCAGGGCATCTGCAGGAAATTAAACTGGTTAACTTCAATTGATATCTATGTTCAATACCATTCCAAATACAACATACAACACGTAATACGTTCATAAAAGTTAACTTGTTAGTTTCGACATACAACACGTAATACGTTCATACAGTTAGTTTCTACATACAACACGTAATACGTTCATACAGTTAGTTTCTACATACAACACGTAATACGTTCATAAAAGTTAGTTTCTACATACAACACGTAATACGTTCATAAAAGTTAACTTGTTAGTTTCGACATACAGCACGTAATACGTTCATAAAAGTTAACTTGTTAGTTTCGACATACAACACGTAATACGTTCATACAGTTAGTTTCTACATACAACACGTAATACGTTCATACAGTTAGTTTCTACATACAACACGTAATACGTTCATAAAAGTTAACTTGTTAGTTTCGACATACAACACGTAATACGTTCATACAGTTAGTTTCTACAGACAACACGCAATACGTTCATACAAGAGAGCCTGTTAGTTTCTACATACAACACATAATACGTTCATACAAGAGAGCCTGTTAGTTTCTACATACAACACGTAATACGTTCATACAAGAGAGCCTGTTAGTTTCTACATACAACACATAATACGTTCATACAAGAGAGCCTGTTAGTTTCTACATACAACACGTAATACGTTCATACAAGAGAGCCTGTTAGTTTCAACAAACAACACGTAATACGTTCATACAAGAGAGCCTGTTAGTTTCAACAAACAACACGTAATACGTTAATTCAGGTGATCCTGTGAGAGTCATGCATAAGAGTATCCGAGGTACCAGTGAATCATGTAAAAATGTTCATTAATACATGAGTGAAAAGAAAACAACACAGAGGGAAACAATAAATTAACTCACTAGGGGGTATTTAGTAAGTGTTTAATTATCCAAGTCGATTTAACATTTGCAAGTTTTTTTGTGCTCAAATGCCTCTAGCTATGTTTTCCGTTGTGATTCCCCTCCCCCAGTGGCACAGCGGTAAATCTGTAGGCTTATAACGTTAGAAATCGGCTTTCGATACCCGTGACGGTAGCTTTGTGCTTAAACTAGTAAATATAAACAAATAAATCCGCTGTGATATCCAATGTAAAACAAGCTTTATGTATTATACAGTTTGTATATGACATTCGATTTTTTTGTTAAAAAGAGAAACCACTGAAAGAAACTGACAAATTTATTAGATAAAAAACAATATCTCTCTTCTCTACATATATATATATATATATATATATATATATATATATACGATTTCTACCACCAGATCTGGCAACCATTCAACAAATATTTACGCGTTAT